CCCCCCCCCCAGGCCTCGTTCCCCCCCGCCCGGTCCCGCTGACCCCGATGAGGTGCACGCGGTCCATGCTGAAGCTGGGCACGATGGTCACCAGCTCCTTCTCGGCCAGGAACTCCGCCTCGGCCGGTTCCATGCGTACCGACCCGGACCGGCGCCGCGCGCAGAACTGGGACGGGAACGGGGACCGGAACCGGCACAGGGCCCGCCAAGCGCCCGCGCTCCCTATTGGCTGCCCGACGGCGAAGCCCCGCCCACAGCACCCCGCTTTCCGCCGTCGGGCCCGTTTTCGCGCTCTCCGTGTGGGGGCGGGACACGGCGCAGCTTGGAGAGAGATGATTGGTTGTTGCATTCGGCCGTGGATCTCTATTGGTTACCTCTATCTGCTCTGTGTCGCTTGCCGCGGGACCAATCCTGATGCCTCCTGGGGCACCGACCAATCAGAGTTCAGCACTTGTTGCCGGGGCGCCTCGGGGCCCGATGTGCCCAACTACTACTGGTGTGCGCGGCGCTCGGAGCTGCTGCCCCCTGGCGGTCAGGAGGAGCAGCGCCCCGTGTCCCGGCCTTTCCACGGGCCGCGGGGCCGGAGGTCTGTCCGTCCGTCCGCCTGGGTGTCCGTGGGCAGCCAGTTGTGCTCATGTGCCAGGCATGGTCTGGCTGCCTGTTCGCTCTATTCATCAGCCAGCACAGGCTCCCACCCATCTGCCCATCCATCCTACCAACCAACCATCAATCTATCCATCCATTTGTCCGTCCATCCATCCATCCATCCATCCATCCATCCATCCATCCATCCACCCACCCACCCACCAACCCACCCACCCATTTGTCCGTGCATCTCTCCATCCACTCTTTCATCCATCCACCCATTCGTCTACCCATGTGTCTGTCCATTCATCCATCCATTCATTTATACATCCCATTCGTACATCCATGCCTCCATCTGTCCATCCGTGCATCCACTCTTCCGTTTGTCCAGCCACCCACCCACCCATCCATCCACCTAGCCTCCTATCCACCCATCCAATCACCCATACTCATCCATCCACCCATCCATGCCTCCGTCTTGAGCCCAAAGGACCAGTGCTCCCCACCACACCGCAGGTCCCATCAGCCCACACTGGGTAGGTCTGGGGGCTGCAGGAGAGGATCCCCCATCCATTGCTATACCCGTGGTGCCACCAGCACGCGCTGCAGCTCCGCCAGGCACTTTATAAATGGCTCTGACATGGTGTGAATACACTTTTGTGTCTTTTGCCATCTGCTGCTGTCATTAAAAAATTAAATTTCCATCTGCTTTTGCACGCCGTCTTCTCCTGGGGCTCTCCAGCGAAGCAGCACACCAGGAAGCATCACCCCCAGCAGGGCAGGATTCAGCCCTGGAGCAGTACTGAAGCTGTTGGTGTCCCCTCTGGGTGCTCAGCACTGGCTGCAGGGTGGTGACGTCCCCCCCGTCGCCCTCCGTGTGTCCCTGCACAACATGGTCCCTGTGGGTGTGGGCGGTGTGACGATGATGGAGGGCACGTGGAGGTGCTTCCCATCCGGCTCTGGGGTCCCGGTGCTGCCATTCCCGCTGCTCACACACATCTTCAAACCTATAGAAAGAAAGAAAGAAAGAAAGAAAGAAAGAAAGAAAGGCCAGGGAATAGGGGGTGTACGTTGATGCGATGCTCTGCTCAACCCTATATGAGCCACTGGAGAATCCCCAGAGCCCTGTGATGGCACGGCACAACCTTCTTCATCCCCGGTGTTCTCACTGGGGTGCCACAGCCCCCAGCTGCCCACCTGCCTGCTGGGCCACGGAGAGCTCTAATCTGCTGTTTTAATCAAGAGGAAAGCCCAGCTCCACACACAGCGAGCGGCCAGGGAGGTTTAATTCTTCTGCAGGAGGAAAATGCCCGAAGGGGACAGACACTGATATTTTTAATCTCTTTTTAATTAAGGATTAAACCCTGCCTTATGTAAGAGAGCCGCAGGGGGGTGTTTTATTTTACTGCTGTCTCTGAGCCCATCGCAGGAGGAGAGCAGGGGCTGGGGGGGATGTCTGGGGGCTGCACTCCCTTGGCTCTGACCTCACTTTGGGGATGCTTCAGCGCGGGTGATGCATAGCAGCTCCCCTGCGGTGCCAAGGGCTCAGCTCTGGGTGAAGCATCCCTTGTGGCAAAGGTCTCCACAGGACAGCGGGTGCAGCATTTGTGCTTGGGTTGACCACGAAAGAGGACAGAGCATCCCAAATCATCCTTGGGCACATCCGAAAAATGGCTGCGCTCCCACGTGTACAAAATCCATCGTATCCCATTGGGACTGGGGGAGACCCCATCCCTCCAGCCTCCCCCCCCCGGTGCCACGCCACCGCCCCACCCCCAATATCACATCCCAACCCTTTGCCAAGCGGCATTAAGAGCTAATGGGAGATGTGCTGCTCAGCGTCACGGCGCGTTAAAAGCTCCCACTTCCTTTCTCTCTATGCCACGGCAGACGTCGCGGTTGCTCGACTCCATTAAGAAAATTGAAGTTTGGGGATGGCGATGCTATTAAAGACGCTCGGGGCGAACTTGGGGGCTGGGGTACCCACCTTTCCCCCTGAGCATCCCAGATGCGAGCATCCCAGGGTGCTCCAAAGCCTTGAGCAACCTCAGGACCTTACCCCACATTTTATAAGGCTGGAAAAAATACCCACATCCCCTTCCTTTAACCCGCAGCATCATCCCTCCAGAGGCCAAACCCCTCCTGCAAGCAGCAGCAATACCTTTAGGAGTCAGTAAAGCACCACGTCCCCAGCGCATCCCTTTGCCCAAAACCACCCTGGCACCCACCCAGACCCACCTTTCAGACAGGATAACTTGAGCCCCATGTTCTCATCCTCTTCTCGGGGCCTCGCTGCTGCTCCTGGCTCTCCAGCACTGCTCACTGCATGAAGAGAGAGATGAGGGCTGTGGGGAGCACAGCGACGGGAAGCGACGCCGGTAATGCTTCGAGCAGGAGGAACGGGAGAGGACTTGATTGCTGGCTAAAAGCATGCACCTATGAGTTTATATATAAATACATAGACATACACATATATATATATATATATATATATATGCACCCAAGCGAGCTGCCTGGGCACAACAGGAAGCAATGCAGAAAAACCACGGGCTGATGTCACGGCGTTTCAGTGACTCAATCCCAGCCGCTGAGTTTGGGGAGGAACTTTTTGGGAGGGTGGAGAAAGAGTTCAGCACCCCAGCATTGCAGCCTGTGCTGGGAACCTGCATCCCTGCTGCTGTGGCTGTGCTGCAAATGCGTTTGGGTGAGGAGGATGCGAGCAGGGCAGGATGGGGGTTGGTGCAAGCAACTGATGCTTGCAAAGAGGAGCCCAAGCCCATGGGCAGGAAATACAGGAGGCACCTGTCTGACCTGGCAGCAAAGCATCTCCCATCCTGGGGTGCCACCTGGGAGCAGAAATAGCCAAACCTGCAGGAGGATGAGGATGTCTGGGACTGGGAGCATCCCTCTGGGTTCCTGTGGTGTGCCAAAAGCTTTTGGAGAAATGCAGGTGGAGAATTCCTGGAGGCAGCTGGTACGAGAGGGGCATTTTCCAAAAGGGATATGAAAGGGATCAGGGTGGGTAAAACCTCAGGGACAGAGGTTGACATTTCAGAGCTGCAGGACACACTGCAGCGTTTCACACTTCTTTTGAAGTGACATCCCCTCACTGAGGAATTTGTATCCCTCCTGCCCACAGCTGATGGGAAAAGCTCATGGGAAGAGGGCTGGTGCCTCATTCCTGCTCTCACCTCACAGGGCCTGCAGGGAGCTGAGCAGCACCTCCCTCCCTGAGCCCCTTCCCCAGGGCTGAACGCGCTCACGCAGCTGGGAGATGCTCAGGCAGAGCAATTCCCCCACCACCATTTTGCTGGCTGGTGCTGGAGCTTCAACTTCGTTTCCGTGTCAGAGAGATGTTTGCATCGCCGATGAGTTCACGCTCCAGAAACCCACAGACACTCATTGCAGGAGTCACCAACGCAGCATCAGCGCTGCACGCGCGGAAAAAGCTCCGTGATGTGCCCGGAGGGGATACACAGAACACAGCCAGGTCCCAGCAGGTGGGTTGGAAAGGGGGAATGGGACAAAAAAACCTCAGCTCTGGCCACGTAGAAGGGGATGCCACTTACCCGTCGCCGTGCCCGCCAAACGTGCCTTGCATCCCAGCTCCCACTGTGAGCTGAGAGGGGGATTTCCAGCCCTTCTCCCATCCGTGTTGTGGGTTTTGCAAGGTTGGTTTCTAACCTGGTTAATCGGGTTGGTGAAGTCCCGGCTCCTCCCATCCTTCCCTCCCTGCTCTCCCCCCCCTCCGGTCCCATCCGAGCCCTGCCAAGGCTGTGGGTGGGTGATGGGGAGCGGTGCTTTTCTCTCACCCCGCTGCACAGCCCAGCCTGGTGCTGATAGAGAGCTGGAGCCCCTGGAACCTGAGCATCCCCTATGGCAGGAAGGGCACCCAAACATCCCAAAAGCACGGGGTTGGTGTGTGGGTGCTGATGCTGAGGTCCATACTCAGAAAGTGGTGATGCTCCTGCTCCAGTTTTTGGGGCCAGAAAGGGTTTGTGTTTCCCACGGGGTCTCATCTGCCCACCCAAAAAAGCAGCCTAGGGGCAGGACCACACAGGGGGGCTCTTGCTGCTCTGAGGATGACAGCTCCAGCTTTCATCCTGAGGTGAACAGTCTCTGCCTTCGCCTGCATTAAAAGCAGCAGGAGGAGGTTTTTGCATATCCGACTCCTTTGCAATGATGAAAGGAGATGCTCCCTTCAGAGAGCTGAAAAGCAGAGATTCACATCCAGGGCAGCGTCACATCCAGGGAATCCCTCCTCACAGCCTTCCTGGCTGCAGGCAGGAGCCAAGGGAAAGCCTCGAACCGAGCAGAGGACAGAGCTCAGGAAGCACCTGGAGGCTGAGGCCCAAAAAACAGACAGATGAATGGGTCATGCACTTTTCTGCCTGTCCAGCAGCAGAGTCCAAGATGCAGAGGGCACTCAATGCACACAGCATCCCTGGGGGTCCCCTGTCCTCACCAGACTCAGCAGCACCAATCCGGTCTGAACTGCAAAATCCCCTCCGTTTGCTATTTAATGCCTCTTCAAGTCCTTCTTGCTGCTGTTTGGAGGGGACAAAAAGCCCCAAACTCCAGAGCCCTGGATTGA